TTTCCCTCACCCCTCCTCCTCTTTTCCTGTGAGGGGACTCTCTGTGCCTATTCTACTGTGCATTATTAAAGTGGCACATAAAAAACTGTGTGAATATGCAAATGCTCAGCAGAATAAGTTACTGCGCATTAAGTGTCACCTAAACAACACATGCTGGTGCTACTGTGCATTAGTGCAGCCTAATGCACATTTATTTAGTACCTCATATTGGAGGTACTATATTTAATGTGCATTAGGAAAAGTGCATTAATGTATGTGAAGATGCACCCTCTGAGACTCATGCAGAAATTTGGTGCCACAGGGTGTCTCAGAAGATGTCATGACTCAACAACTCTCCTCCCTTTCCCCAATCAGCCTTCAAAACTGCTCCTTCTCTATGAGAAGCAGTATGTAAAGAGACACTCAATATTACATGCTTTACCTACACACAATAATAATCTGAAAGAGGGGGAGGAAATCTGTCTGGAAAGCTACCAGTGGGGACAAGATGGGGAGAGAGGAAAAGCCTGTATACAAAAGAATCTATTAAGGCATCGCAAAAGAATGCAAGTCCCACTGCTCCGTCACTCCTTCTGCCCCTTCACACAGGTCCCCCTGCTGAACACAAGGTTCAGAGAAGCAGATCCTTCATCCAGGGGGAGCCTAGCACTCATTTCTCATTAGCATTGAAGGTCAGGATGTGAGAGGAGCTGGCAGCCTCTGCCAGCAACTCTCCAGCTTCTTGTGCTGGTGAGGAAGATCCCAGGGCACTTTTCCCCTGTCTGGATAGCTTGCTCGGTGAATGTGAAGCAGGTCAAATGATGTGATAGTTACATCAAGTAACTTTACCTGTTGCTTGATGGAAATAAATAACATCTGGCAGAGGCCTAGGATATGTATGACAAAAACTTTATATAGAGTGGCAAAAACTTTAAAAATGTATGAATGGCCTCTTCTGTGGTCCATTCTGAATGATTATAGATCGCTTTGCAGCTTTCACTACTCTGATTCTACAGCAATACGGGACCAAAACATGGAGGGTCAATGTAGCTGCTATCCATCATGCTGCCAGCAGACCCTGGCTATAACATATTAAAACCCAGGCTCAGAAAGCTCACCTCAATCTACAGTGAATCGTCTGGTGGCACAGAACCAATAGGACAGCTCCTTTTTCATTTCCTGCCTGCTGCTAGGGCAGCAAAGGTAAAGAGGTCATGGACACACCTAAGGCTACTAAAAACTCATGAAACCTTGTTGTCTTAGTCTTTTGGGCCTATTGGTAGCTGGCATCGGCTATTTAAACTTACTGCAGGGAACAATCTCTGTTGCCAACAGCTTAGGATCAGGGCAGTGCAGAGGTGAGTACTGGGTTACTTTTGCACTCTATCCTGACCTGAGCTCCTGTCCTCACTATTTTCCTCACCACAAATCCTTTTCCTCATGCAAATTACTTGAGTTTTTCTACAATGCTTGTTTTTCTGATAGTACACGACAAATCCCAGTGTCAAAGGTCTCATTTTTCACATGGTCAGCAGCATTGG